TTACAGAAAAAGTTTGCAGATCCCCAGCTTAGGGGATCGGGAGTGGTATGGGGAGGTGGATTGTGATCTGATATGAGAAGGTGAAGGAGATCCTCATGGAGAAAGTGACATTTGGGTAAAGCCTGAAGGAGAGAAGGACAGAGCTATGTAGCAGCAAGAAAGAAGGTTTCAGTAGAGGGAACAGCCAGTGCAAAGGCCCTGGGGTAAGAACATGTCTGCTGTGTTCAAGGGACAGTGTGGAGGTCCCTGTGTGTGGAGTAGTGAGCAGGGGGTGAGCAGGGGGAGATGAGGACGGAATGGTGACTGAGGTGTTCACAGGGTCCCTCTGGCTGCATGTGGGGAAGACTGTGGGAGCAGGATGGGAGCGGTGAGTCCAGGGAGAGGCTGCTGAGACAGTCCAGGAAGGGGATAATGGGAAGATGCTCAGGAAGGGAGGGAGGCGGGAAGATTCCGGGTAAATTTAAGGGTGGAGCTGACAGAATTTCTCCATAGATAATATCCTCACTGGGGAAAAGTCTTTTCTAAAAGTGTTCACATCCCCGGCTTTCCAGTCATACACACCAGGGTTCTAGCCCCAGCTTGACTACATACCAGCTGTGTGATCGTAGTTAAGTTGTTCAATCTCTTCTAGCCTCAGTTTCCCCATCAGGGTGCAGCATCAATGAGATCATCCATGCAAAGCACGCAGAATTCTGCCCAGCACCTGGAGAGCGCTCCAGACCAGGCAGCAGTGAGAATGAGGATCGCTCCCCGGCTGGGACCCCAGGTCACTGTCCTGGAGGTGTGCACCACCCTCCCGGAAGGGAGCTGGCCCTCCGCCCCTCCCCTCCCCTGGATCTCACACTCCTCCTCTGCCCCCCGACATGTCTGTGACCTGAAGGCCGCACCGTGAAGTGCTAAGCCTTGCTGAGCCTCAGTTTCCTTCTCTGCCAAATGGGTCTCCTCAAGTCTACATTACAGGCGGTCAGGGCCATTAAATGACCGTGTCATACACAGGGCGCCCGGCACACACCAGGCGCTCAGGAATCGATTGCTCTGTTTTCACCATGACCCTCGACAACAGCAGCTACGCGGGCCTCCTCAAGTATTTTCCCCAACATTTTATTACGAAAAATTTCAAACACACGGGAAAACAGAAAGAACTTACAGATAGATTTACACCAAGCACTATTTTCATTACTGTTCCTGGTTTTCACTACGTCCATTCACTCATCTAATTCTCACAGCGACTCTCAAAATATGTCAAGTATGCAGTGTGGTGTACGATCCCCATTTTACAGATGAGGAAACTGAGGCACAGAGAGGCACAGAGATGCACAGGACTTTTAGCTACTCAATGTTGGAGCTGGAGTTGAACGCAGGCCATCTGGCTCCAAAGCCTGGGTTGTTCCCCATTAACGCCATCTCTCTTCTCCTCAGGATGAGTAAAGTTTGCCATTCAATGGGATATCGTGCAGCCAGCACAAAAGAATGTTTCGGAGAGTCCAGTAAAAATAATATTGGACTATGGTATGTTTGTGAATGAACTCAGATCCAGCATCTAGGAAAAAATGCTCTGGTACCTAAGACAAAATTCATTGTTACCAGTGGTAGCTTAGGGGTAAATGGACACTGAGAGATTATAAAGTCCTTTGTTCGTAATTGCAGTCATTATTTGTTGAGCTCTTTCTTTGTGCCCCACCCTGTCTGACTGGCTTTACATGCCGCACCTTTCCGATGACTGGTGAGGTAGGCACCGCTAAACCCATTTCAGAGATGAGGTCACTAAGGCTCAGAGCAGGGCAGGACTCGCCCAAGGTTACCCAGCCATGAGGTGGCAGAACCAGGATTCAAACCCAGTTTGTCAGTTTCCTGAGCTGTTAAACCTTTCTGGCTCTTTCTACTTATTTTTCAATAATAAGACAATTTGTTTTCATAAGGAGAAAAGATTTAAAAAAGAAAAAAAGAAGTCTCCTTAAGAAAGTAGACTCATTGATCTTTACTTTATTAGCCATGTGTATTACTTTAGTAAAATTTAAAATCCTGCCTCACACCATACACGAAAATCAGTTCCAGATAGATTGCCAACCTAAACGTAACGCAAAATGACAAAGCTTTGGGAAAAGAACAGAAGAGAACATCACCATGTTTTGGAGGCATGGACATATTTTTTTAAATGACGTAAAAATAAGCATCCAGAGGAAAAGATTTAGAAATTGGGCTGTGCTAAAGCAGTGACTTTCTGCTTATTAAAAATTGCCATTAAGAGAGTGAAAAACCAAGCCACAGAGTGGGAGATGTTCACAGTACAGACAACCAACAAATGGCTGGTGTCCAGAATATATAAGGAATGAATCCATTTAAAAAATGGACAACCCGATAGAAAACTGAGTGAGACGCTTGAACAAGCACCTCACAAAAAGGATATCCAAAAGGCCAATATATAAATGAAAAGATGTTCCATATTATTACTCATCAGGGAAATGCAAATTAAAACTGCAGTGAGGGGGCTGGCCCTGTGGATTAGTGGTTACGTTCGGCACGCTCCACTTCGGTGGCCTGGTTTTGGGGGTTCAGATCCTGGCCGTGGACTACTCATCATGCCATGCTGTGGCAGTGACCCACATACAAAATAGAGGAAAGACTGGCACAGATGTTAGCTCAAGGCTAATCTTCCTCAAGCAAAAAAACGAGGAAGATTGGCAATGGATGTAAGCCCAGGGTGAATCTTCCTCAGCAAAAAGGAAAAAAAAACACGCCCAAAAACTACAATGAGCTATCACTACACATCCAATAGAATGGCTAGAAATAAAATGCCTGACACGGCCAAGTATTGGTGAGGATGTGGAGCAATGGAAATGCTAGAATGTGAAGAGCAGTACTAATTGCAAGAGCCAAAAAAATGGAAACAACGCAAATTTCCATCGCCAGTTCATATATAAATAAATCGTGATATCATCACACAAAGGAATAGATGGCACTTATGCACCCAACCTCGACGAATGTCACAATCGTAAGGGTGAGTGGAAGAAGCCAGCCACAAGAGTTCACACTGTATAATTCTATTTATATAATGTGGAAAATGGGCAAAACAAAACTACCGTGTCCAGGGAGGCATACTTAAGTGTTGAAATCCAAACCAGGTAAAAATCAGGAAAGTGGGGACCTTCATGGGGAGGGAGAAAGTGGTGTCTGGGACGAGGCGGGAGAGGGCTTCTGGAAAGCTGGTGACACTGTTTCTTCACCTGGGTGATGGCTACACAGGTGTGCCCGCTTTATCATAATTCATTAACCGGAAGGTTTATTTTTCACATACTTTTCTGTATGTGTCCTATTTCACAATCGAAAAGGTTTCAATAATTTAAAAATCATTTTGAAAGGCAGGTTCTTCATAGCCTTATCTTGCAAACCGGGCAGACTGGATGTCCTGGGTATAATAACGATTGGAAGGGGTGTGTCAGACACCTGCCCCGTGCTAGGAGTTGCTCTGAGTGGCCTATATCTACGACCTTAGTTAATCCTGACGACAACCCTGTGAGACAGTTACTATTACTTCCCCCATTTAACAGATGGGGAAACTGAGGCACAGTAACGTTCAATAACTTGCCTCAGCTGGTCAATGCTCGCGCTAGATCGAAACACAGGCCACCTGGCCCCAGAGAAGATGCTCTGTCCACCCCTCCGAGGTCTTCTCTCCAAGGAATGAAATAAGAAATAGAGGAGTGGAAGGAGATTTCTCAAAACACAAGGGGATCTAAAAAGAGAAACTAGAAATAGTTCGATGGCTGTCCTGGGGGGAGGGGAGGGGCCCTAAGTGAGCTGTGAGCCCTCAGGCACCACATCAGGGGCCAACAGGTCCAGTCCCACTGGGGCTTCTTCACCCGAGTTGGTGGATGGACTTCAGAGGCTGCACAAACTTGGGTGGGAAATCAATGACCTCTTTGATTTCACTCAGCAGTCCTCAAAACATGGTTCGGGAACCCCTGCGAGTCCCCAAGACCTTTCTCAGGGGGTTAAGGAGGTCAAAACTATTTTCATAACAATACTAAGCTGTGTTTGTCCTTTTCACTTTCCCAGGTCTACCTGCCAGGGGATGGCGTCATCGCCCTGACAGCTCGTGGAACGTACGCGTGTGTATTCTTGCATTGTCAAAGCTTTCCAGCTTTATTTCCTTACATGATAGATATTAATAGATATAACCCACATGTACAAAAGCTCTTTGGGGTCCTGAATAATTTTTAAGATGGTAAAGTTTAAGAATTGCTTCTATAATTGAAATTCGGCGTGTCCTTTGGCCATGATGCAGGGGGGGCAACAGACCACAGGACCGTGAGCAGGTTTCCAGCTTTGCCAGGAGAAATCGCAGATGTTTTCAGATCCCACAGCGGTCCTTGTGGACTCTCAAACCTCTGCTATCCGTTCACCCCGACTTCTCAGTTACTGTAATTTTTGGACCTGCCACTAGATCAAATGGCTGGAGTTTAATGCATTAATAAAGAAGCACATATATTACCATATCACATATTTGTTTTTAAAATATTTGTATACAAACTTCCAGTTACAAAATTACTGAGTCACAGGGATGTAATGTACAGCATAGGGAAAATAGTCTCTATACTGTAATAACTTCGTATGGTGACAGATGGTAACCGGCGACATTGTGGCGATCATTTTGTAATGTACATAAATATCAAATCACTATGATGCACACCTGAAACTAATAGGATGTCGTATGTCAATTATCCTTCAAAACGAAAAATATCTGTGGGGCCAGCCCAGTGGCATAGTGGTTAAGTTCAGCGCACTCCACTTTGGCAGCCTGGGTTCGCAGGTTCAGATCCCAGGCGTGGACATACACCACTGGCAGCCACACTGAGGCTGCGACCCACATACAAAATGGAGGAAGACCGGCACAGACGGTAGCTCAGGGCTAGTCTTCCTCAAGCAAAAAAAGAGGAAGATTGGCAACAGATGTTAGCTCAGGGCCAAACTTTCTCACACACACACACACAAATTTGTATATCTATAATTCAATAGCATTGGTTCTTTCTTAATCCTGTGTATTTATTTTACGCATGTTAAAATAGGATTTTGAGATGGGCTTCACCAGCCTCCCATAGGTCTCTTTAACATAAAAACGGTTAAGAACCTCAGATTCTGGAAGATCACCAGAAAAACTAAAACTAAGGAGACTTTACAATCGATGCGGGTGGGTGAGGGTGGGGCAGTCTGGAAGGCGTTTGAGTCTGGCTAAGAGCATTGCTTTCTATTACATTTTAAGCTGTGACAGAGACTCGGGAATGTGGGGAAAAGTCCAAACACTGCAAGACCCCTCTTGAACCCCCTCACTCTCAGGATCCGTCTCTGAATCGGTGTCCCGAGCCTGCAGACACCACTGTCCTTCGAATTTACAAAGCCAAGCCAGTGAGTCACTTTCTTTGCAGACAGGAAGGGGGGACAACTGAAAATCTGGACCTGCAGACTTTTCCTGCTGCTCCGGGAAGCCCCCAGCACATTTTGTGGCAAGCCACTCACCACCTTCAAACAGCTCATGAGGGTTCCAGGGGAACTTCTCACTTGCTCCCACCTAGATCCCAGGGCCATTTCTGGAGCTCGGGCATTAATAACAAACAAAATAACAGCTGATACGTACCCAGCCCTCACTCTGGCCAGGCTGTGTTCTCAGCACGACATTTCCTGCATCAACTTGTTTAATCCTCACAACGGCCCATAGGTTCGTGCTATTACCACCTTCTTTTGGCAGGTGAAAAAACCGAGGCCCAGCGAGGTCGAGTGACCCGCCTAGGGCGCACAGCTCAGAAGCGGCACTGGCAGCCGTGGATTTTGATTTTGTTTACAGCGTGCCCGGGAGTCAGGGGAGGACGCAGTGGGCTAAGCTTGGAGACAGAGGAAGGCGGAAGGACTTGCGAGGCAGATGCAGCCGGCTTGGCGGGAAGAGACGGGGGATTCCCCGGGTCGCGGGCGCTGGCGCCAGCACACCTGGGTACCGCGGGATCCCTGGGGGCTGGCGTCCGTGGCCTGGGGGCTTCGCAGCTGCGGGGTGGGGCGCCTGGGGGACGAGCGCAGACTCACCTGTCCAGGCGCTCACCTGGTGGCCAGCTTGGAGATGGCGGCGGCGGCGGCGCACCGACCTTCCTGGGTCCCCCTGCTCAGGCTCCGCCCTGGGGGGGGGGGGGAGGGGAGCGAGTGGGGCGGCCAAGACCGGCCGGACCTGTGGGACCCGGGGCCCCGGCTGTCTGGGGAGCCCGTCACCTGGAGAAGGCAGGCTCTTCCGGGGCTGGGACGGCTGTGGGCGGCGGGATGCCTGGCACCTGCAAGCTCATAAATACCGCCGCCGCAGCGGTGGCCGGAGACGCGCGCGGGCAGGTGGCGCCCCCGAGGGTGAGCCGGGGACCGGGAGGGCGCCCCCCGCCCCAGCTCCCGACCTCCGGGCTGACGATCCCGGCCCGGCTCTGCCCCCCGGCAGGTCCTCGGGGAGCTGGAGCGGGCGGGAAGGGCCAGGGAGAAGGGGAATGGTATGCAGGTGCAGGGCTGGGGGAGACAGGTGGAGATAGGGGCGGGGTTGGAGTTACTAAAGGCAGGATGGGAGGGGGGGGGGGGGGGGGGGGGGGGGGGGGAGGCGACGGGGAGAGAGGGCTTCTCCAGGTAGGATGGAATTCTGGGGACTGGAGTCACTAAGACCAAATGGAAATCTGGAGGATGGAGTACAGTGATGAGGTCTCTGAGGGCAGAATGGAATGCTGGGGATCTAGGGAAAAAGGCAGAAGAAACGGGGGTTACTAAGAGCAGAATGGAATGCTGGGGACGGGGTTACCAAAGGCAACTTTGTACACGGAGCCGCCCCCGCCAACTCCCCCCTCCCCACTCCCAAACCTGTTTCACTGCGAGTGAGCATCGTTAAGAGCAAGGACTCTGGAGTTGGGACCCCTGGGTACCAATCCTGGCTCCATCACATGCCAGCTGTGCGGCTGAATCACTGGGTTGCTCATTTTCCTCATGGGTGATTTGGGGTGATGATCACAGCGGCCACCGCACACAGGAATGCTGGGAGGCTCCTGTGAATTCATCTCTGCAGAGCGCTGAGCGCCCAGTGAGCCTCAGACGGCATCTGCCGCTCCGTGGTGATCGTCAGATTTTTCTCTCCAGCATCCGCATAACCAGCCCCTCGAAGACCTCCCTGCTATCCCGCCTCGTGGCACTGCCTGATCCCCCTGCATTCCCCATCCTCCCAGCCGCTCCTGCTGCTCCTGCTGCTCCTGAGGGAATCTGACCTTCTCCGGACCCCTCCCCTTCCCCTCTCTGCCCCCGCCATCCCCTTACCATGCGCATCCTTCGTCCCTGCTGGTCCTGCTGCTGTCTGCTCCTCTTCTGCTCCCTGGGAATCCAGGGTACCCCGAAGGCTCCCAGCGCTGCCCCCGAGCAAGTCCACCTGTCCTACCTAGGTAAGTGTCTGTGACCCCTGCTGGGCTGTTTCCCAGCGAGGCCCAGTTGGCCAGGGTCTCAGGAATCCGCCCCCCACCCCCCATGGCCGTGGGGCCCTAGGCCGGTGCCTTGTTCTTCCTGAGCCTCAGCTGGCCACCTCTGTTAAATGGGGATGATAGGCAGCGGTGCGTCTGGCTGTGTGGGAAATGATTCCGGTGCCCAGCCCATCGTAAGCACTCTCCAGAGGGGGCTGCTGTTGCCCTTGCTCATGTGTCGCTGCTCATTGTAGCCCCACAAGGCGGCCTCCTGATCCTGGATCAAGAAGGCGTGGTGCACTGCGGGGGTAAGACCTCAGACTCTGGACCCCCTGCACCCAGGCTTCCTGGGCTTGAATCCCTGCTTTGCTACTTCCCTGCTGTGTGACCTTGGGCAAGTGGCTTAACCTCTCTGGCCCCATCCTCCTCGTCTGGACAATGGGGTAATGTTAGTGTGACCTGCTGAGGAGTAAATGAGACATTACCCGTGAAGTGGCAAAACGGAGCTTGGTGTGTAGCAGTTGGTTCTAACACGTTTTTTTGTCTCGGGACCCTTTTGTGCTGCGGAAAATTATCGAGAGCCTCTACGGGCTTTGGTTTCTGTGAGTTCCATCCATCAATATTTGCCATGTTAGAAATTAAGACTGAGGCCTTTAAAAATACTGTCATTTAAAATGAACAATAAGGAACTCATTCTGTATTAAAGTAAATGACATTTTTCATGAAAAATAATTATACTTTACAGAAGAAAAGGAATTCAGTAAGAAGAGTGGCATGGATTTACATCTTTTTAAGTCTCTAATGTCTGGCTGAATAGGAGACAGCCGGCTTCTCAGCACATCTGCTCTGCTTCCATCTGTTTTGATTTGTTGCTTTGGATGATGTGTGTGAAGAAAGTTTGGTCTCACACAGACGTGTGGTTGAAACAAGGAGGAGGATTTTAATAGGAGTTTCAGGTAATTGTGGCCATTCCTTTTCCTTTCTTTTCTTTTTTGGTGAGGAAGATTGGCCCTGAGCCAGCCAGGTGTCGTAGTGGTTAAGTTCCCACACTCTGCTTTGGGGACCTGGGGTTCTTATGTTAGGGTCCCTGGTGTGGACCTACACACTGCTCATCAAGCCATGCTGTGGTGGTGCCCCACATACAAAGTAGAGGAAGACTGGCACAGATGTTAGCTCAGGGCAAATCTTCCTCACCAAAAAAAACAAAAAAACAAAAAACCCCACCAAAACCACCTCTTGGTGCTGCTGTGAAAATCCATTGTGTCACAGCTGCCCCTTGTTTGGCCTACACAGTAATATTCGCAAATATGCTCTTACTAAGTGTTTCAGATGGATGACCCACTTAAACCATATTGGACCCTCAGCTGTCGGCACTATTGTTCCTCCCATTTTATGAAAAGAGTAAACTGAGGCCCCTAGCGAAGAAGAGTCTGACCCCAGGTCCCACAGTCTGGAATCTGAACCCAGGCAGGCTGGCTCAAGAGCCCATGATATTTGTTTTCAAAACGTTAAATTTTGTCCTAATTTTAGATTTAACAGAAAATTTGCAAAAATATGACAAAATTCTCACGTCCCCCCTCCCCCCATTTCCCCTCGTGTTAGCATCTTATGTGACCCTGGTCCAAGTACTGAAACAAGGAGATTAACATTGGTGCAACGCTCTGAGCCAACCTACAGACTTCACCTGAATTGCACCAGTTTTCCATAATGTCCTTTTTCTCTTCCAGGATCCAGTCTTGCGTTTACTGCTCGTGTCTCCTCCGTCTCCTCCAATCGGCCAGGTTCTCAGGCTTTCCTTCTCTTTCATGATCTTGACATTTTTGAGGACTGAATGGTTATTTCGTAGGCTATCCCTCCTTTTGGGTTTGTCTGACTTTTTCTCATGATTGGAATTAAGTTACGTATTTTTCCGGCCAGACTGTCGCAGATGCGCTGTTGTGTCCTCCTCAGTGCGTGGTATGGAGGTTCCGATGCTGACGTGGCTTGTTGCTGTTACTGGTGATGTTGACCTTCGTTGCTTGGTTCAAACGGTGCCTCCTGGGTTTCCCCACTGTAAAGTCATTATTCTTTCCTTTGCAGTTAGTAAATACCTTGGGGGAGACTCCTTGAGACTATGCAAATCATGTTTCTCCTGAAACTTTTGCCCACTAATTTTAGCATCCATTGGTGGATCTCGTCTGCAACAATTATTAGCGTGGTGTTTGCCTAATTGTGATTTTGTAAGTTTGTAATTCCCTCTCTCCGTCTGATCGAAAATTTTACTGTAAGGAAGGGCTGTCCCTCCCCCTTCCATTTGTTTATTTGTTCAATTATTTATTTATATCGCTACGGACTCACGGATATTTCTTTTATTCCATGGGTTAAAATCCGATACAATTGTTATGTATTTTATGGCTCAAATCATCCCAGATTTGATCTTTTGGAATTCATTCAGACTGGCTTCTTGTTGTTCCAACAAACCCCTATCCTTTTTTTGAGCACTTCTGCACTTTCTGGCACCACAAATTACCCCAGGCTCCTCTTGTGTATCTCCTGCCCCGTGTCTGGAATCAACCACTCCTCCCGGGAGCCCTGTTTCCTTTCACAGGAGAATGGGTGTTTAGACAACAAGATCTGACCTCTAGCTGCGCTCATGGCTACTGAGGTGTCATTGCTTCTAGGTCTGCTCACAACCAGAGCTTAGCAATATGCGTGTGTGTGTTGACACACATATGCACACATCTCTATTTCTGCGTCTGCGTGCATACATATGAAATACCACGAGGTCATAATGATAGCTCCAATTTCAGTCCAACAGCAAGGGTTTATTTTGACCTTCTTCTTTCCTTATTTGTAGCTTCTTTCTCCAACATTGAGAAACCTAGCTCGCACGGTCTACAATGTACTTACTTATTTGTTCAGTGCTCGCAGAGGCATAAAGCAGTGTCGGAACTGTCTGTGGTCTCCCTGCGAGGGACACTTTCTAGAGATGGTATTCCTGTACAGCCATGCTGAGTCGAGATTCGGCTTCCCCTGTGGTTACTTTTCTTCCTCACCCCTTCAGTGTGTTACATTATTCATCTTTTGATACAGTGACATTCATTTGTTAGTGTTTCTATTCCACAGTGGCTTCTCCCATGTCCTGGGTGGTTTTGCTTGTTAGTTTATTTTTGGGGGTGTGTGAAGGAAATATGAAATACGACCATAGTTCTAAGAGTCAGATTTATACAGAAAAGACTCAGAGCGGTGCTCTCCCTCCTAATTCCTGCTGCTCCATCCCCATTCCCTCTTTTCTACTCCTTTCCCGTCCACAGCATGTCAGTAATCCATGTCTTTAGTTTCTGGTGTATCCTGCTTGCGTTTCTTTTGTGCGAATGAGTGATGCCGGGGTATTTTCTTATATCCTCTTAATGAAGAGCAGCTGACTCTGGATACTCTTGTGTCCTTGCCTTTTCTATTTACCTGTACGTCCCGGACATCGTTCTCTACCAGTTCCTAGAGCTTGTCCTCTTTCTTTGTCACAGCTGTATGGTGCTCCATTGTACGGATGCTATATAACTTACTCGGTCACTCTCCTATGCATTTCGATTGTTTTCGATATTTTGCAGTTACAAACAGCGCTGCAACGGGTAACTGTGTGCCCCTGCATCCTCACGCTGCTGGAGGAAGCAGTCATGCTCTTCACATTACACAAGCCCACGTGGGATTTTTAAAACTTTGATTTTGTTGCTCACATTTACAAATTTGGAGCTATTGCTTAAAAGTCTGGATTTGTATATCTATATGTGCTCCTGGGACATAAAAACCATGGTGGAAAATGTTACCTTAGAAATTGACAGATTTGGTGGCACTGGGCCCGCCTCCTGCATGGCAGCTGTCACGGGGGCTGAGTGCTGGCTGTCCTGTTTAGATAGGGCGGGGTCTGCCGTTTGCACACACTCCACAACTTCTTGCTGCCTTACTCCTTACAGCCGGCCCTTGTCCCCGTTTATATGCCCTAGCTGGCCTCTGGACACCTGAGTTTACAACCCATAAACAGTATGCCTGTAAAATGTTCGGCACAGGGCCTGTGCACGGTAAATCATGAATTCATAATAATACTCATTCACTCATATAACCTTCACTGTACTAGGCGCTGTCTCAAGTAGTTTATTCATCTAAGCCTCATAAGAACCCCATGGGGTAGATATTATTACTCCGTTTTACAGATGAGGAAACTGAGGCTCAGAGAGGTGAAGCAACTTGCCCAAGGAAAGCACAGCTTGGAAATGGCAGAGCTGGGTTGAACTTGGGAAGCTCCAGAACCTGCATCCTTAGCTCCTCCATGTTCAAGAGCCCCTCCCTGTCCCTACACATCCCTCCCTGCCCTGCCCAGCCCTCACTGCCCGGCCCCCTGTGTTCCTGTCTCCCCAGATGAGCCGGGCTCCATGACTGTCACCTGGACCACATGGGTCCCCACGCCCTCTGAAGTGCAGTTCGGGCTGCAGCCCTCGGGGCCCCTGCCCCTCCGGGCCCAGGGCACCTTCAGCCCCTTTGTGGACGGGGGCATTCTCCGGCGGAAGCTCTACATACACCGAGTGACGCTGCGGGGGCTGCTGCCCGGGGTCCAGTATGGTGAGCAGGGTCCGGGGCTGAGGTGGTGTCAAGGGGGGAGCGGGAAGAGGAGCAGCATATGGGCAGGAAGCTCCCACCTGCAGGTGGCTCAGGCTGGGCTGGTAAGGCCTCTGCTTATCTGCAAGCCTATTGTAGGAGACCCCGGGAGGAGAACGGAAGGCACTGGGGCCCAGGGGCGAGGTGGACAGAGGGAGCATGGGTCAGACCCACTCGATTCCCACCTCCTCCCCCAGCCCACTGAAGATGGACGAGGGTGGAGGAGACATCCTGAGGGGCCCCCAGCCGACCACAGCCGTTTCCTTCTCCCTCAGTTTACCGCTGTGGCAGCGCTCAGGGCTGGAGCCGTCGGTTCCGCTTCAGGGCCCTAAAGAATGGGCCTCACTGGAGCCCCCGTCTGGCTGTGTATGGGGACCTGGGGGCTGACAACCCGAAGGCCCTACCCCGTCTGCGCAGGGACACCCAGCAGGGCATGTACGATGCTGTTCTCCATGTGGGTGAGGCATCGGCAAGGGTGCGCCTGGAGGGATGGGAGGGGGCTGGGGGGCGGCAACACTAAGACCGTGGAGGGGATGGGGCTGGGGCTGGCGTGGTTCTGGAGGGACGGGGGCTGAGACTGGCCGTGGAGACGGTGTCTGTGGTTCACCAGCCCGCTCTGGTTAAAATCCTAACTGCGACCCCTGGAGCGATGGGCGTGGGCTTTCTATATGATTATTATCGGAGCTAAGACTAGTTCTGAATTCACAAGACTGCTATGATGATCTACAGGTTGACATTGCCTGGCACGCCGTCCGTGCTCCCCAAGTGTCAGTTGGTATCATGACTGTCACGGTCTGAGTGCACAGGGAGCCAGAGGGGGCTGGGGATTAAGCTGACTCTGGAATCAGACTCCCAGAGTTTGAGTCCTAGATCTTCACTGATGGGCTCTGTGACCTTGAGCAAGCACTCACCCTCTCTGAGCTTCAGTTTCCCCATCTGAAATGGAGACAGTAATCGCATCCAGCTCAGAAGGGTGTTTTAAAGATTCAGGTGGTCAAGCACAGAGAGCATTTGGAACTGTGCCTGGTACAAAACCAGTACCAGACCCCAGACCAGTCAGTCTTAACGTGGTCCTGCTCTGGGAGGGGACAAGGTGGAAGGGGAGGTGGGGGCTGGTGTGAGGAGAGCACAGGAGCCCAGCATGGTCCTGCAGGGGTCTCGGGGACCAGAGGTTCAGTAGACCGTTCCAAGTGCACACGTGGTGGATGTGAGGTAGGGATCAGAGAACCGGGACAGATCAGGAGCTGGGGCTGGCACAGCGCACACCTGAGCCACCGGGTCTCTCAAATCTGGTGAGAGCAGAGCCGGGTCCGGGTCCTCACTGTCTCCCTGCCCCCTGCCCCCCAGGAGACTTTGCCTACAACATGGATCAGGACAACGCCCGCATCGGGGACAAGTTCATGCGGCTCATCGAACCCGTGGCCGCCAGCCTGCCATATATGACGTGCCCCGGGAATCACGAGGAACGCTAGTGAGGGCCGAGGGCTTCAGGGTGGGCGGGAGCCGGGCCCGTGAGGACAGACGTGTCCTGCTCAGTGTCCTGCCTTACTCCCTCATGCTGCAGCAGCTCATGCATGACAGTGAGAGGAGGGGAGGGGAGGGCCGGGAGTTGGACTCTGCCAGGCAGTGGGGAGGCGGGGGTGGGACCCAGGCACCCAGACCCTCCCCTGACCTTTTCCTTCCTTTTATCCAGCAACTTCTCTAACTACAAGGCTCGCTTCAATATGCCGGGGGACAGCGAAGGCCTGTGGTACAGGTAATCTGGGGGACCTGGAGGCCCGGCCTCCCTCCCCTGAAGGATGGGAGATGCAGAGGAGACCTCATCTCTGACCCCTGCCCTTTGACCCCTCCAGCTGGGATCTGGGCCCCGCCCACATCATCTCCTTCTCCACCGAGGTCTATTTCTTCCTCCATTACGGCCGCCACCTGGTAGAAAGACAGTTTCACTGGCTGGAGAGCGACCTCCAGGTAACCTGGGTGGAGGGCCTCGTCCGTCTCTTGGACCCGCCTCCCCTCCCCCTCCCTCCACCCTGCCCCTCACTCTGGGCCCTCCTCTCTAGAAGGCCAACCAGAACCGGGCCGCCCGGCCGTGGATCATCACCATGGGCCACCGGCCGATGTACTGCTCCAACGCTGATTTGGATGACTGCACGTGGCACGAGAGCAAGGTGAGGACCCCGGCCCTGGGCGGGGGGGCGGGGTGCTGACAGCCACGTGAGGGGCCGGCCCGAATCACCCCGCCCCCCCTTGCTCGCCCTGCCCAGGTTCGCAAGGGCCTCCGCGGCCGGTTCTACGGGCTGGAGGATCTTTTCTACAAATACGGTGAGTGGCCCGGGGGGCACGCCCCAGCCCCAGGTCCACCCCCATCTCTCCTGGATTCAGGGGCCTGACCCCCACTTGCTCTGTCTCAGGGGTCGACCTGCAGCTGTGGGCTCACGAGCACTCGTACGAGCGGCTGTGGCCGATTTACAACTACCAGGTGAGGCTCAGGGCGGGCGGAGGGCCCGGTGGCTGGTGTCCGTGGACCCCCGGTCAGAACTGAGGGCGTGGCCTGGTGTGACGCCCCCCCCTTGCCCTTGTCCCTTCTCCAGGTATTTAACGGGAGCCAAGAGAAGCCCTACACCAACCCTCGAGGCCCCGTCCACATCATCACAGGATCTGCGGTGAGCAGGGCGGGAAGGGGCCTCCAGCTTCTCTCCTCTTGCTATTTACTGGGGCTGAACTGGTACCAGCCTGGGAGCCGCCTGCCTTAGACAGTTGCTCCCCCTGACTCTCGACCCTAAAGCTTAGGTCCCCTAGTAATGAGCCCCTTGTACAGATGCAGAAACAGAGTCTCAGACCGTGAGATACTCGTTCAGAATCTCAGGTTTGACATGTGGCAGGGGTCGGGGGCTTGCCCAGGTCCCCGGGATGGGTCTGGGTCAGACGGCTGATGATGACACTGGCAACTGAACTCCAGCCTTTATTGACGCGCCACCAGCCTTCTCGCTAAGGACCGCTCTCTGCTCGGGTTCCGGCATCGTGTTGAGTTTTGTTTCTGCTCGATCCCCTCTGACCCGTGGCACCTCCTCAGTCTCTCCTTGTCCTTCCTCCTTCAGACTTTTGAAGACTCCAGGCCAACTGCTTTACAGAATACCCCTCAATCTGGGTTTGCCTCGAGTTTTCCCACGCTGACCTTTGGGTTTTGCATTTGGGACAAGACAATTGCTGCAGTGGTGTCCCTCTCGGGCCGCCCTACTCAGGGCATCAGGGGTGCGTGACATCTCTGGATGTTTCTCTGAATTACCTATTACAGAGGTGTCTGCTGGGTTCCTCCGACACAATTATCATATTTCTCTATCTAGTTGATAAATATCTTGGGGGAGATACTTTTCGATCATGCAAATGTCCTATTTCCCCTCAAGCTTCTGCCTGCTCATTTTTGATTCTGCAGCGGGTCTTGCCCGCGACAGTGGTGACTGTGGGGCTGGAATGGGGGCTTTCTATTTCCCTCGTTCCTCCTAGATTTACTCATTAGAATCGTCCTGCGCGGGGGGGGTGGGGTCGTCCCTTCTGCCCCATTTATTTGGTTAGTTAGTTGTTGATTTATACCAGGATGGCCGCATGGGCAGCGATTTTGTTCTCTGGGCTGTAATCCAGTACTGTTGTTTATGTGGCCTCTCAGATTGCTGCGGCTTTGGCCCTTGCATCCCTTCGATGTGTCCCTGTCATTTTGTGAGCGCCTCACTTTTCGGGGCGCCATGAGGCGCTCCGGGATCACCCTGTTGTGCTCCCTGCTGCGGCCTTGGCTTCAGTCACTTCTGCAAGGAGAGCGGGCTTCCGCTGGGACGGCTCCGGGGGCATTTGAGAACATTGTCTGCGTACACAAACGAGGAATTGGCTCCAGAGAGCTGTGTTACTGTATCATCCACTTTTAAAAAAGAACTCGGATCGTCCTTCTGACCCTAGCGATTCTCAACTTTGGTGCCTGTTAGAATCACCTGGGGAGGTTTTAAAACTCCAACGCCTGGGCTCTCCCCGGAACACACCCCAGAATCTCTGAGGGCTGGGCCCTGGCATTGCGTGCCCTTGTGAAGCCACCACCCACGGCAGGAAATAGACTGTCGTCAGTACCAGATGGCTCCTCAGGCCCATAGCGGATGGCTAGTCTGAACTTCTTCAGCACAGATTTGTTTTTTTTTTCTTTTCTCTCTCTCTCTCTCTCTTTTTTTTTTTGGTGAGGAAGACTGGCCCTGACCTAACATCTGTGCCAGTCTTCCTCTATTTTGTGTGTGGGTTACCACCACAGCATGGCTGTGCCTGGGATCTGAACTTGCGGACCTTGGGCTGCCGAAGCAGAGTGCACGAACTTAACCACTACGCCAGTGGGCCAGGCCAGATTCAGGTTTTTTTCTTTAATTTTAAATTTTAAGATTATTTTAGACTTACGGAAAAGTTGCAAAAATCATGACAGTTTAAGAATCGAATTCAAGTAGTTAACACTGCCATCTAGTATTATCTAACCTGCAGGTTCATTCAGGTTCAGCCGGGTATCCCATTCGTGTCCTTTACATCGAAGCAAAGAACTTTTCCATCCCGGCCCAGGCTCGTCTCAGATCACACACTCTATTTCAAGGTCTTGTCTCTTCAGCTTCCTCAAATCAGAGACCTTTCCCCACTCTTTCTTCGTTTTTCATAAGCTTGAAAAATTGGGGGGGGGGGGGGAGCTGTCCCGCGAAGGCGTTTTGTAGACTATCTCTCAGTTTGGGTTTGTCCGAGGTCTGCTCGTGATTAGGTTGAAGTTGCCCATCTTTGGTGAGAACACTCAGAAGTGAGGCTGTGTTCTTCTCGATGCCTCCGACCAGCAGGCCCGCGGGCTCTCTGAACCCCTGTAACCCTCGGCTTCCCGTCGTATCATGTGGTGCGGGTCCGTCTCATTCCTGAGGATGTCCACGTTGGTCCCTTACAGGGTGGCGTCTGCCGGCCTCTCCATCCTGGGTTACTCCCTTCCCCTTTGAAGTAACAAGTGTCCCCTGGAGAGACACTTTGAGACTATGCAAGTGTCCTTCTCCTCGAACCTTCACCACGAGCTGTCCCATCCGTTGACGACTCTTGCTTCAGTCCATCATTACAGTGGCAGCTGCAAAATGCTGATTTCCCGGCTCCCTTGGCCTCTCTGCTTACGTCGCCTGGCTTTCTGCTGCCAGGATGAGCCCTCTCTCTCCTGCCAGGCGTGGGTGATTGTAAAAAGCTTTCTTGAAGGGTCCGCTGTGCAGCAGCATAGACACCCACCGGTGTCTTCTGTCCTGTGGATTGCTGTCTCTCTGTGTCTCCCTGCTTGCTGTATAGCGTGCTGCCTACGCTAGGATTGATTTACCCGACCCCACTGATGGGCATTCGGGGGGCTTCCAGCTCAGGGCTTTTACGGACAGTCTGGTACAGCCGTGCCCTTTTCTAGAAGTCAAAGGCCCGGGGCACAGGAAGCTTGGTGGGGTCAAAACGCTGGATTATGAGTATTCTGGAGTTCAAGTCGTAACTGACTTTCTCTTCAGTGGAGGCGGCGGGTCCTGGCCTGGCGGGTCGCTTCTGCTCCCCCGTGGGTCCTGCCCCTGCCCCTGCTGGCCGTGTGTCTGAGTGACTCTCCCCGGCAGGGCTGTGAGGAGCGGCTCACCCCCTTCAGCCTCTTCCCCCGGCCCTGGAGCGCCTTGCGCGTGAAGGAGTACGGGTACACGCGTCTCCACGTCCTCAACGGGACCCACATCCACCTCCAGCAGGTGTCCGACGACCAGGTCAGTGAGGGGCCCCGTCACCCGCCCGAGTCACCAGGCCCAGCGCATTCTGGTTACAAACATGGGCTCTGGAGCCAGAATCCTGGGTTCCGATCCTGCCTCTGCAGCTTACCAGCTGGATGACCTTGAGCAACTTACTCAACCTCTCTGAGCCACAGTTTTCCCATCTGTGAAATGGGGACGTTAATAGTTTCTACCTCACAGGATCAAATGGCAGTTGAATGACTTATTATATATAAAGCACTTAGAACAGTTTCTAAAACGTGGCAAATTTTATAGGTGTTTGGCAACATGAAGCAGAAGAAAAACGCAGGTGGTGGCAGATAGAAGGAAACAATATGATGTGTATGCGGTAGGGGTGGCTCGAGGTTCTGTGGACCCAAATAATCAAGGCTCACCTTCTTTATTTTGGCCTTTGGTAATTTTAAAATGATGACAGTAACTATGATTTACTGAGCATCTGTTGTGTCCCAGACCCTGGGCAAGATGCTTTATACTCAGTAGCTCTTTAATCCCCATGACAATCCCATGGGGCAGATTTTCTTTCCGTTTTACAGATGAGAGAACTGAGGCTCAGAGAGGGGAAGTAATTTTCCCAGGGTCACACAGGCGGAGGGTGGCAGAGCAGGGATCGTACCCTAAAGAACTGTGTTCTTTTTCTTATAAATAACCAGCATTAATGGAGTGGTGCATGCAGCAGGGGCAGGCTTGTGTGTGTACGATCTCCTTCAGTTCTTCCCGGTTTGCAGAACATGGAAGGCAGGCTCAGAGTCCCATCACGAGCTTAAGGCCACATGGAGAGTGACCCAGTCTTTGCCATGTGCTTGGCTCCCTTTTAAGCCCTTTCCAAATATCTCATTTAATTCCCACAATGTCTAGGATGTAGGTCCTATTACTATCATCCCCACTTTTCGGATGAGGAAAACTAAGGCTCAGAGAGGTCTAGCAATTTGCCCAAGGTTACACAGCACATCAGAGGCCGAGCTGGGATTTGAACCCAGGCCACCTAGCCCCAGAGTCTGGGTTTCCAGCCTTCCCTACCGCCTCTGTGTTTGTCCCTTGCAGGACGGGAAGATCGTGGATGACATCTGGGTGGTGAGACCTTTGCTTGGCCGGATGATGTACCTGTAGGGATGGGCGCAGCTCTCATCAGGAACCATGGGCCTCGCCACCTTGGCTGGGGTGACCGGACACTGCTGGGGCCTGGGTGGCAAGTCGGGGCGGGCCTCGACTCCTCTGCCCTCCGCAGGCCCCATGTGGGGTGGAGGCAGCCCTGAAGGAGCTGTGTCCGGAGAGGGGAGGGTCCCGGCTGGCTGTGCCGGGAGGACAAGGTGCAGGCACAGTGACACCGGGCAGGTCTGGGGTGGCCCGGTGCCGCCCTCCCACGCAGTGCTCCTGGGCGGGATGCCCGTGGGGCCTCGGGAATAAAGAAGGTTCTGCTGTGGCTCCGTGGACTCCACACATCTGCTGGGGATGCTGCCGGCAGCCTCCCCTCCGGCTGCCGGGGCAGGGGCGTCACCAGCCGCGCGTCTCGGGTGGGCCCGGCCGTCACGACGCTGCTCTCCAGCAGATGGCATGGGTGACTTTCTCCTCCTAGGCCAGCCCCCAGTGCCACCCCAAGGCCTGGCTCCAGTGGCCTAAGGAGTGCTAACCAGTGTCCCAGCTTTGTGCCTCAGTTTCCCAGCTCGGCACGGACTTATCCTGGAAGCGGGGAAGTGTTAACACTCCTGCCTCCCAGCTGGGGTGGCTGCCCGGCCTCAGGAGCTCCCAGACCTGCCATTTTCTTCCCTTATCCCCTTCCTTTCCTCCTCCCAGCTCTCTCTCTGCCTTCCGCCTTTCATTGGCTCGAAGATTATTTATTGCGCACCTACTGTGTGCCAGGCCCTGTGCTCGGTACCGGGGAGACAGCCATGAACAAGACGGAGATCCCCGACCTTGTGGCGCTGACGTTCCAACCAGAGTATCAGAGAGCAACCACAATAAATCAATAAAATGTATAACAACGTAAATAGTGATCTGCGCGCAGAAACAGCAAGGAAGAGGGATGGAGAACCAGGGTGCAGCTGCACTTTTCACGAGGATGGGCAGGGAGACCTCACGGAGAGGATGCCATTTGATCTGAGGGAGGAGCCACATGGGCCGAGGGGTCCAGGCAGAGGAACAGCCCGTGCAAAGGCCCTGAGACAGAAACACACCTGCCCAGTCAGATGCTGATGAGGAGGCCCGTGCAGCAGGAGCAGAGAGAGAGAGAGGCGGAGCGGGATAAGGGCAGAGAGGTGACAGGGGGTGGATGGTGTGGGACCTCGTGGGCCACAGGGAGGACTTGCCCTTCATCCTGAGTGACATGGAGCCCCAGGAGGGCTCTGAGCTGGTGGCGGCCATGACCTGACTCCTGGACTCCTAGGCAAAGGCTGGGGCTCTGGCCCCAGGGCTGAGGGCTCCCCAGGGGAAGCCCGTGAGGTCGCAGCTCTGAGGCTGGCCTCGCCTCTAGGCCCCCATCGTGCTGCGCAGTTTCCGCTCCTCACGTCTGTTCCCACCCCCACCCCACCCAAGGCACACGGCTCCTTGCAGTTTCTTGAACACACCAGCTTTCCCCCTGTAGGGCCTGTGCCCTCTCCCCCGTGCCCCCAGGCTGGCACCTCCTCGGCTTCGGGTCTCAGCCTTTCCTGCCGACCCCAGCTGAAATGACCCCAGCCGCCCTCCGTCTCATCCTCTGTCACTTCACTCCCAGCTCTCAGCCTCCTGCCATCCTCTCGGGATTGATTTGTTAACGTGCTCATTGTCAGTGTGCCCCCTGGGCCGGCGTGAGGATGGAGACCAAGGCCGTCTTGTTCATCCACTGTCTGCCACCTCCATGGAGCCCTCCCAGACCCCTTCTGGCGCTGGGTTGGGGCCCAGGCTTCCCCCACATCCTCCCGGTGCCCCTTCTGGGCCGGCACCGTCTAGGGGCAGGACTGGCTCCCCCACTGGACCGACTATCAGCCCAGGAGGGCGGTGCCCAGACCTGGCTCCAGCCCGAGACGGATGCTTAATGACTACTTGTTGCACGTGCCAGGCTCTGGCCGGGCGACACCAGGGACAGCGAGGAATCAGCCCCAGGCAGGCTCTGTGGGCGCTCACGGCAGGCCGGGAAACACAGTTACCCAACACGGTGACAAGGAATGAAGGAATGACCTGGAGACTGAATCAAGCCCGGGATGTCACCAGCCAGGAAGTCATGCATTGTGTGCTGCGGCCAAAGACGGAGCTGGTGCCGTGCGAGCCCGGCATGTCCTGTCCCAGGCTGGACGGGGCTGTGAACAAACCTGGGCGGTGGGGTCCTTAGAGGGCAAAGGCCGGCGGGCGCTGGAGCCGGACAGAAACCGGGCTCCTCTCTCAGCTCTGCCGCTTCCTGTGTGATGGGGAGCCGCTGGCCCTCTCTGAACCTCTGTTTCTTCCTCTGTAACAAAAGCGCGATTGTCCTTTGTGGGGTTGCCTTGGGGTTAGAGGAGGTTGGGAGCCTTGGTGTGGTCCTCGATGTCTCTTTTTCTCACGTCCCACATCCAGGGAACTGGCAAATTCTGTCGGCTTCATCTTTTTTTTTTTTTTTTTTTTTTTGAGGAAGATTAGCCCTGAGCTAACTACTGCCAGTCCTCCTCTTTTTGCTGAGGAAGACTGGCCCTGAGCTAACATCTGTGCCCATCTTCCTCTACTTTATATGTGGGACACCTACCACAGCATGGCTTGGCAAGCGGTGCCATGTCCGCACCTGGGATCCAAACTGGTGAAACCTGGGCCCCTGAAGCGGAACGTGCGCACTTAACCACTGCACCACCAGGCCGGTCTCTGTCGGCTTCATCTTTAAAATCTGTCTAGAATTTGTCCCCTCTTCCCACCTGCGAGGCCCCCACCCTGGTCCTGTCTGCTTGGCCTCTGGCCTCCTGCCTGGTCCCCCCACTGCTCCTGTCCCCGCCCCACCGTCTGTCCCCCACACGCAGCCAAAGGGATGGTGGACACCCGCGTCAGTCAGATCGTGTCCCTCCTCCGCTCGAGCCCTCCTGTGGCTCCATCTCTCTCGGAATAAAAGCCATCGTCCTCCCGGTGGCCCACCCCACACCCGCTGCCCCGTCACCTCCCCGCCCTCATCTCCCACCCCCCCCCCCCCGCCCTCGCCCACTCCACCGCAGCCCTGCTGGCCTCCACGCCACCAGGCCACCCTCCCACGTTGGCACCAGCCGTCCCTTCACCGGAGATGCTGCCCCCAGGTACCCACACGGCTCCTTCCTCTCCTCCTTCAGCTCTTTGCTCAAATCTCACCTTTCCGGGGGGCCTTCCCTGACCACTTTGTTGAAAACAGCATCCCCACCTCCCCACCCCCAGCTCCCATCCCCTCTCTCTGCTTTATTTTCCTCAAGAGCACTTTGACTTTGTGACCTACTATATAGACACGTTCCACTGTTTATTCTTTATCTTCTCCCAGAGAAAGGGAGCTCCCAGGGCACAGGGTTTCCCCCAGTTCTGTTCACCTGGCAGCCCCGGTACTGGATACGTAGTAGTTACTCAATAAACGTTGGTCGGATGAATGAGGAAAGGCAGGGAAAATGCTTAGCACAGCTTCTGGGGCCGAGGGAGCAGGTGACAGACAGTAGGAATGACAGCCATCAGGTGAATCAGATAAGGCAAGGCCCAGCCCCCGGGGCTCCCACTGCTGGGGACACAGGAGACAGGCACGTAGGGCCGATTGCCACACCCGTGACATGTCACAAGCACAGGAAGTGACAGGTTGCACGGAGACCCTGAGGCTTCTGGGAGGCGAAGCTGAGCGAGGCTTTTGGGGGCTACACGGACACCTGCCTGGCAGGCCGGGGGTGAGTGCTCCCAGAAAGGGTGGCGGGGCCCGGGGGAGAGCTTGTGGGCTGGCTGGGGGTTGGTGGAGAGACCAGAAGGGGGAAGGTGCAGATTTCTGGGTTCCATTCATTAACCAACGTTTCTTTAGGGGCCGGCCTGGTGGTGTAGTCATTAAGCACGGGCTCCACTTCGGTGGCCCAGGGTTCATGGGTTCGGATCCTGGGTGCGGACCTAGCACAGCTCATCAAGCCACCCTGTGGTGGCATCCCACATACAAAATAGAAGAAGATTGGTACAGATGTTAGCTCAGGGCCAATCTTCCTCAAGCCAAAAGAGGAAGACTGGCAACAGAGGTTAGCTCAGGGCCGATCTTCCTCACCAAAAGAAAAAAAAAAAAATTTATTTACTAAAGTCCTTCATGGCTCAAATCAGCCAGAAATGGTTTCTGTTGATTGCAACTGAGAAGCATGAAGGAAGCACGTGCCTACTATGATCCGCCTGCTGGGGATGCTGTGGCAGCCAAGATGACGTTTTGGCCCTTGTGAAGCTTAAATTCTACTGGGGCAGGTAGAGAAGAAACTATGAAGACAAAAATGCTATCACATGATAATTCCAGATGGTGATAAGCACTGTGAAGAAAATACACTGGAATTAGAGTGTGGGATGGTAAAGTTGCTTTAGATATGGTTCCAGGGAAGGCCTCTCTGAGGAGGTGACATTTGAGCCAAAGGACAGGGAATTAGTCAAACTAAAGACCTAGAAGAGTGATCCAGGCAGCGGGACCAGCAGGTGCAAAGGCCCTGAGGCAGGGCTGAGCCTGTGTGTTTGAGAAACAGCCAGGAGGCCAGGGTGGCTGGTGTGGAGTGAGTACAATTGCCAGATAGAATCCAGGATGCACAGTTAAATTTGAATAATATTAATCAGATGAATAATAAATACATTTTTTAATATGTCACAAATATGGCTACTAAAAATACTAAAAAATGACTTGAGGTTTGTCTGAAATTCGATTTTAACTGGGTATCCTATATTTTTATTGGCTAAATTTTTATTGCAACCCTAGGAATGAACAAGGGGGAATGTGGAGGGAGATGAGGACAGAGGACACAGGGAGCCCCAAGTTCCTCTCGGATCCTGCACGTTTGTGTGAAGAGACAGGATGCTCTCTGACCTCCGCATGGGCCTCTGTCCTATGGGGTCCTTGCTCCGTGGGCAGCGGCCCCTTCCTCCCTTTCCAGACCACCCTCCCCATCTTTGCTGCTGCTTTTCAGCAAATTTAAAAAATGATACTATCTTTATTTGACTTCAGGGAAGAAAGTAACACACTCGTTGTTAAAAAAAATAAATTCAAACCAAGCAAAAGGAAATAAAGTAGAACCGGAAACTTCCCGGCTGTCCCGTCCCTAACAGCTTCGAACTTCTAACATTTTAATATTTTTCCTCATAGCCCTTGATTTTTCTTTTAATGAAAATACTATCATAGGATATGGATGGGTTCGTAACCTTTCTTTCTTGCAGAAATTAACATGGGCATAATATCATCTCGATGCCCCTTTTTTTTCATTTTTAAAAATAAACTTTATTTTTGGGAAGAGTTTTAGATTTACAGAAAAACTGCAAAGATAACACAGACTTCTTATAAAGCCCACTCCCAGTTTCCCCTATTATTAAGATCTCACTTTAATATGGTACATTTATTACCACTAATGAACAAATGCTGATACATTATTATTGACGAAAGCCCATACTTTATTCTACTGCCTTTTAAAAACCTTTTGATATAATTCCATTGAGATACAACTTCGTACAACTAACTGGACCCTTTTAAAGTGGACCAATTTGATGAGTTTTGACAGAGATGTCGTCCCATGAAACTGCCACCGCAATCAGGACACAGAATGTTTCCGCCCCTCGCAGCTTCCGCCGTCCCCTGGCCATCCTCCCCTCCATCCCCCAGCTTTGGGCGACGCCCAGTCTGCTCCTGGTCACGACAGGTTAGGTTTACCTTTCCCAGCGCGGTGTCGATGAAGCCACATTGTACGCAGCCTTTCGAGTCCGGCTCCTGTCCCCCAGCCCGAGACATTCTTGATCCACTCACATTGTCCTGCTTGTCAAGAACTCCTTCCTTATCGCCCAGAGTGGTCCACGGGGGGATGGACCACAACGTATTTATCTTTTCGCCACTTGATAGACATTTTGGGTTGTTTCCAGGTTTGGGTGGTTATGAAAACCACTGCTTTGAACATTCCTGTACAATCGTTTTGTGAATATGTGTTTTCATTTCTCTTGAGTAAAACCCTAGGAGTGGGACGGGTGGGTCTTGCATCTTCCGCATTCTTTTTATAGCTGAGTGGATGTATTCTGCGACACATTTCGAGCTCTGCTCATCACCTTATTTTATGTTATAGTATTTATTTGTTCCTGTGTTTATTATCTACCTCTCAAACCTGGTTCTCTGAAAAAGAGGAGAAAATGGTTAGAAGCCTAGACTCTGAAGGCAGGCTACTTGTGTGACTTTGGAGAAGTTACTTAACCTCTCTGTGCCTCTGTTTGCACATTTGTAGAATGAGGATAATGATAGTGCTTAGAGTGGTTGTGGGGCTTAAAAGAGGTGGTAGACGTAACGTGCTTCGCCCAAGGCCTGCATGTTATATAGAAAATGCTCAATAAGTGAGGTTATCGTCATTCAATGTGCTTGGCACACAGCTGAATATATTTAGCGAACGAGTTTGAGCAGTCTTTAAGAGCACCAGCTTTGAAGTCAGACTTCCTGCTTAAAATTCCAGCAAAGCTGCTTACAAGCAGTGGGACGCCGTCCCTCTTCCTACCCTACTCCCGTGCCTCAGTTTCCTCATCTGTTAAATGGGGCTGAGGACCCCATCTTCTAGATAAGTGGTGAGAAAGAGACAAGATCAGGTTTCTTTCTTTCCTTCAAGAACAACTCCTAGAAGTAGAATTGGTGTATCAGAGGGTGGACAGCACTGTTAGGTCTCTTGGTGGACATTGCCAAAACCCTGCCCCAGGTCACAGTTCTACAAGTGGCGTAGGAGAGTGGCCGTTATCTTGTATTCTCATCACCACTGATTAGAACACTAAAAAAATAATTTTCTGAGAGATCGAAAAAAGGGGAAGGGTTTTTTTTAATAGTTTAATATCCATTTCATTAATTTCTTGTTTGCCAATTCCACTTTTTATTCGTTGTCTGTATCTTTTTGTTCATGTCTTTTGCCTGTTTTTCTGTTCTATGTTCACCTTCATAATTGATTTGTAAATGCTCTTTACATATGAAGGACAGAAAGCTTTGCTTGCCATCTATATATTGCCATTTATCTTTTTCCTTAATGTACTGAAATTTATCATTTTTATGAGGCCAAATCCTCCTCACCTGTTTCCACCATCTCACCACCTCCTCCAGGAAGCCCTCTGTAGGGGGCTCTTTTGAGGCTGATTTCCTCTCCCAGTGCCCCAAATTCGGAAGCCCTTGGAGCAGGTCTGCCACTGGGCTTGTTCCAGGCTCTGATCTCTGACTAAGACCCCCAATAAAGCCACAAAAGGCCGTCCCCAGACATGGCCCTAGAGCCTAACACTTTGCAGTTTGTGCCCGGCCCTAAAGCGACAGGTTGCTTCTGGCCCTCCTTCCACC